GAAATAACACGCCCTTCTTATCCCTACGAAAAACAGAGTATTATCTTGTGGTCATGAATGTTCGGCTTTGTCGTTGCTGTGACGTGCTGTAGCTTCACATAAGACTTTTTTTGGTTAGGATTTTTGTTATGCCTTCATTTTTTTTCAACACCAGTTACAATCTCGTGCAAAAAAAAATATTTTTTTTAGGTTTCAAGCAGTATTTTTGAAATACAAAATCGTCTTTCAACGTTTTCCTTGCTTCAATATACACGGTGTGTCCCAAAAATAACCGAACTTTTTGGATAAAAAATAAAATACACATTATATTATATTTGGAAGTTATTATTTATTCCAAATAGGTTCCATTTGACTCAACACAACGTTTGGAACGATCAACCAGCAGAACGATCAGCGCATGCATAGATTTTTGTATGTCATTTATAGAAATGTTCTTCAGTACCTCGGTTACGGCTGCTTGAATGGCTGTGATATCATCATAAAATGCTCCCTTCATCTTGGTTTTCAGTTTTGGAAATAACAAATAGTCACATGGTGATAGATCAGGCGAATACGGAGGATGGTCGATGAGAGAAATCCCTTTTTTCATTAAAAATTCGAGCGATTTTTTGGTCGTCATTTAATTCATGTGGAACAAATCGCGCACAGACCTTTCATTTCCCCAAATCTTCAGTTAAAATTCTCCAAATAGTATTTTTACTCGTATTCAATTCCTCAGCCAACATTCTCGTAGTAAAATTTGCATCGATGCCAATGATTTCACGGACTTTTTCCACCAGTTCAGCACGATTACTAGTTTCTGGACGTCCTGCTCTAGGGTCGTCATTTAAATCCTCACGACCATTTTTAAATCGTGTAAACCACGTATAAACTTGCGTACGACTCATACAATCATCACAATAAACTTTTTTCATTAACTTTTTTTCAAAATTTTTTTGACACAAAATATTATATTTTCTCTTTGTTCCGTTTTATTTTTGAACCATTAGCACACTTTTGGTTTTATTGAAATGGCTGTCAATTTTACATCTGTCATTCGACTTAATGCTGCAAATTTTCAATAGATGGCGCTGTATGTTGTATGATTTAAATATAAAGTTCGGTTATTTTTAGAACACACCGTGTATATTGTTTTTGAATGTATCCGGCTGCTTTGATACATTTTTTAATGGCTGCTTGAGTGGCTCCCAAGGATTCTGCGTGTTCTTCTTATGTTATAATGCCTTCCAGTTCCTCATATCTTCACACTTTTTTGCCGGCCCAGAGCGTTCTTTATCTTCAAAGCCAAAATTACCACTTTTAATTCGTGTAAACCACTTTTGAAACGTTTCAGTCAGCTAAAGCATGTTCGGAACATAAAACTTCAATAAAATACGATACTTTTGGCAACGGGTTTCTTCATACTAAAGTAATGAAAAAAAAACTCTACTCGAAAACAGTCGTTGGATAGAAAGACAAAGGAAAATTATGATTTTCGAGGATCTTGGAGTTCTCCTCTTCCAAATGAATTTCCGTAGCAGACCATTAAGGTAGAATGGTAATCTCGTATCGATTATGAAAATTTGTTGTTGCCCTATTATTATTTTCAACGCATGTAAAGAGATGTTACGGTCTACCTAGGGCCTATCGTCTGGCCTTATGCATTGATGATACTCAGTGGTAGACAAGCCAATCTTGCTTTACGATGCCTTGGAGTGCAGGACCGTTGTCAGCAAAGTCTTACAGGAAACCAATGGAGTGAATACAGAGGCTCACTGCACTTTGCGTAACAGCAGCACTAATAACCGCTCCAACGGCTGCACTTCAAGGTTTAGCTGAATTTTCTGAAAGAACATTTGGGCGGAGTTCGACAGGCAAGGAAATGTGAACAAAATTGACCTCTAAGCTTTATCTGAGAAAGAAGAAACATGTAACATCTACACGGACGGGGTAAAAATATACTGACAAAGTGTACACATCAATATTTACAAACATAAATTGAATGTCAATAATCTCAAGGAGTATCAGTAGCATTGATACTTGTAGAAAATGCAGGGAAGAAAACATGCAGGAGACGTTGGAATGCGTCTTTTGATTCTGTCGAGTCTCTCCTAGAACTAATCTTAGATATCTGGGTGCTTCGCAGTACAAAGGACTAGATGAAGTATCAAAACTGACAAATGTAATTTTTTTGTGCACTGTCTTTCATTTCGATGTGAATATTTTTCTTTTTACTTTATCAACTGGCAAATGTAATTTGAAATGGACGAAAAAAACAGTGCTGCCAAATTTTTTTCAAATATTGTAACTAGTTCGCCAGAATACCAAATTCAATTTCGGGTGTTAAAGAAAAGTAACAAAATTTACTTTATCGGTAAAAGTGAGAATAGGCCTGTAAATCATAAATATTTGAACCTAATTATGGAAAATATGCCTCGACAGAATAGGCCTGCTAAGGTAATTTTTGTTACCTCGACAGAATAGGCCTGATAGAATCTGCACTTAGGTGCAATTTGTGACGTAGGCAAATTTACGATACAGTGCTTTATTTTACTTTAAATATCAACTAATTTCGAACGAAAATATTTCAGTTTTATATTTCATGATGTCACAAAAAAATAGTCAGCAGTGCCTATTTGAACGTAATTAGAAAAATTACGATATTATACCGTAACAGTTTTACCGTATCTATTTGATTCCGCCTTTTATCATTGCGTAAGTATGCCCATGTAGAGAGATGACATTATTCAAAACTGGGAGGGGTACATATGTACTTACTAACATACATATACACATGTGTATACACAGGGTGTATATTTTTATATATTAATATGAGAATGGTACAAAACATTAGGAAATGCACTTGGTTCACCAAATCAAAGCACAACGGTTAACAGTTCATCAAACCGGCATGAAATAATTAAATATAACTGTACATACATATGAAGCTGTGCGACAAAATAATGCAATTCAAAACACACATTCGCACATTTGCACATAAATTTTATAACTTTTTAGCGAAATTTAGATGGATGTATCCTACATACATATGCACAAACATCTACATATATAATATATAATGATTTTGGCATCCAAAGCAACGCCCTATTTGCAAAAGTTATAAAACTTGCGCGATCAACTGATTTAATGTGTTATGGACATATAATACATAAACATTAAAAATATAGGCGAATGATTGTCATTAGCGCACACGACTCTCCACGTAGACGAATATATGTACATATGTACATATGTACAAGAATATGTTTGTGCCAACATCCATTCCCATTATATTTTATACTGTGCTATCCGTGGAGAATATGTTCCGCCGATACTGGTGGTACAATAGTGGCGCCTATTGCACAGCACTGCACAGCACAGCCTCTATTGCTTCTATTTGTATCACATGTATAACAGTATAGTAATTTTTTGGATGCATATACATACATACGTATGTGCGTACTTGGTACATTTGTGTATCACTTTTTTCTGCACTGTTTTTGCTTACTTGGCCATTGCAATTTCGGCCACACACTTACCAATTACTTAATTAACGCTATAAGTTCGTATTACATGCGATGATGATGTTTGTATATTTTCTCTGCGATAACATTGTGCATTATTGAAACACACAAAAAAGTTTACGCACACAAACTATAGAAAAATCAATAACATATTTTTTGAACACTTTTTTTATCAAACACGTACTTATTTAATCTATTGCATATATACCAGCGTTATAATAAGAGTTATGATTATGTTAACATTATGTTTTAACAGCAATTCAATGATATAAATACAAACTTTGTAACTATTTGGTGTTATACTAGTTTTGTTTGCAAAAAAAGCGATAAATATTAAATGGAGCACACCAGGTGATACACAATAATCCGGATGGAACAAAAAGAAAAATGGCAAACTATAAATTGTTAAAAATACACAACAAGGTGTAGCAAATTTTCGGCTTTTTACTAATTTGTTTTTTTTTGTGGCGAACAAAAACAATAAAGAAGTGTGACAAATTTGACCCGCTCTTTAAGCACATTCATTTTGTCATTGAAATTTTACATTTTATTTGGAATGAACAAAACACTGTTAATTTCCTGTAAGCAAATACATTAATTTTTAATCTTACAAACTAAAAATATTTTCATAATTTTTAATTCAAATACAAATTTTTGGATTAAGAAAAGAGAAATTAATGATAATAATTCCAGTCCAATTATTTTGGAGATTTACTAACCTTCTGACATAAACTAATTTTTTGACTTGTACTATATTTTTGTTAAAACAATTCGATTTATTCCAAAAGTTTATTTTCTTTTCATAAGAGTATTTAAAAATAAAATATCATTTTATCCATTCTTTTAATTTTTTCGTCTATTTAACAATATTTATAATAATAATAATAATTANTCCTCCAATTTATCTATTGATTTTCCAACAAATGAGAGGACCTATAGTTTATTCTCCGAGGGCTAATGGATTTTTATGACGAGATTTGTATTTCATGTCAGAAAAGTACTTTGAGTTAAATTTCCTTAAATTATTTAACTCTTTTATTCACATTATGGTAGTACTTACTGTTATCAACTCGTCTATTCCGTTCGCCAAAATAATAATAATACAATACACTTATTTTAAAATACGTAAGATGTAACAACAAAAGAGATTTAATGGGCGTTAATATATATACATATCTATATATATATATATATATATATATATATATATATATATATATAATATATATATATATATATAACTTACACTTCAACAATGTACTCATAGTTCCTTCTAAAATATTATTGTCCGCATGACATATACATTTATTTTACTTAACGAAATCGCCGACTAACGACTAGATTAATCGAGTTTTTTTTATATAAATTATTTGTATATGCCAGTTTCTTGTCAACAACAGCAAGTGACAGTTTTAATTACCTAACATATTCAACATTAGAATTTTCATCACATATTGTTAAACTCTTAAAATACATCTTTTGCATCACTCTGTGCTCGTCCACATATTTCACACATTCCGACATTGAATGGAATTATTGCTCAGTCGTATTTTTGATGAACAATTGTAATAGTGTGTTTTTAGGTTCTTTTTTCTTTCCAAATATTTTGGAATTTTATTTCTTTGTGAATTTAACTTTTACTATTTTGGGTACGCAATATTACTAAGATATTATGCCACCCCCAAGACCGAGGGGAGTGGGATATAATACAGGAGTCACAACATCTAGGCCCAGCCCGAATACACCGATGTCTGAGAGACAGCAAATGGCACTGCTAATTCAGATGACGGCGAACTCGACGACAGGTAATTCGCACATTTTTCGTTTATTACATTTAAGTGCCTTTCTCAAAACAATACTTAACGGATTTTAAAAATTTTACAGAGGCCTCCAGATCGCACATCAAGAAGAATGAGCATAAAAAAGGTGATGATGCCGAAGATGTTAACTCCTCCGAAAAACATGATCATTCAGAAAGCAGCCGCGATAAATTAACCACAGATGAAGTTAATACTGAGAATAAGAGTGAACATGATAATATTGTCAATACAGCAGAAAACCCATCGTCAAGCCAAGGAAAACGTAATTACTCAGATATAGATGATGAGGATTTCGAAGATTGTGATGACGGAAAGAAAAAGAAACGTAAAGAAGGAGATGTTGGAAAGGATACAAAAACTACGTCAGCAGCGCGTCTGCCAGGTCGTACTGAAAAGTCTATCAAACAAACATCGACCGCCAAGGGTTCACCGAATCCTAGTAAAAATGCGAATGCAACAGAAAAAGAAGCGACTGATTTGGCAAAAACTGGTTTTGCCAAACAATTCGAAACTGAAGGTGATGATGATGAATTTAAAATGTCAGACTCGCTTTATAGTGGCGGTTTGAAAGTGCCGCCTCTAAAAATTGTAATTCCACAGCAGAACTGCTCTATTGACACAGACGGCAATGTATCACGTACAGGTAAAATCAACACATCTCGTAATGCTGCACTACCATATGTGGTAAGTTCAAATACGAATGATGCCGGTGAACGTGAAGTCCAATGTAGTAGTCCTCATGAAAGTCCCATAAAAATTAATAACATTGGTAATGTTATAGATGAAAAGAATAGTAGTAAATTAACAAATGAAGAAAAAAATCTGCATCGTGTCTTACGTAGTTCACATCGCAGCGGCATTACCAGCGCTGAGCGTAGTTCGAACAATTCATCGCCGCAATTGCAAAGTAGTTCACCATCTCCAGCGTCATCGAATGCAAATGAAGGTACCACAGATAATAAACTTACGTTTACGAACGTAAGTGCAAGTCCATTGCAACATAATCATACCTTTGAAAATGAGAATATTGTGAATTTACCAAGTCCATCCACTTCGTCTACGTCGTCATCAAAAGACGTACATGCACATAGTGTAGAATTACATCCGCGCAAACGTAAAATACGATCAAAACATGATGACAGTCATAGTAACAAAAACAATAGCAATCAAAATTCAAATACAGAAGCAAACTCATCCATTTCTGATACGCATTCTCATGACTTTCCATTCACAAACTGTTTCCAAATGTATCTAAATATACGTAGACAAATTGAAAAGAAATGGCGTAACATGTATCCCGTCAAGCCGAGACCACCGCAAGGATATAGTGAATATTTGATAAATAAAAAGACCTATCTCCTCGCAAGTAATGAAAAGAAAATTGAGCCTACAGCGCCGTCAACCATACCTCCGAAAATGCAGGATATCTACCGTTTACAAGAAATCAAACGTAATGATTTGCTACAACGTCATATTGTGGAGCGTGAGAAATTGTGTTTGAATGTTGAACAGGAAATGATACGTGTGCATTCAAAGGCAGCGCGTAACCTATCATGTCAACCGGTGCCATATTCCGTATGTACGCTTCTTAAAGACGAAGAAGTCTATAATATACCAACTTCCGAGCAAGATGAAAAGGATAAAAATGCACGTTATCGTTTTAACGGGCGGCAATTACTTAGCTGGTTGCAAGATGTTGACGACAAATGGGATAAAATCAAGGTAAGTAACCAAGATAAATATAAAAGGCAAACACTGATTTAATATTGAATATTTTACATTTTCAGGAAGCTATGGTTTTACGCCATCATAACGAGGCTGAAAGTCTGCATGCCGTACAAATGATGGACTGGGATATTGCGCTGAAAAAGAACAAATTATGGGATTACAAATGTGAAACTTCAATTGATAAGGATCATGTACCCATTGTACATGTCAGTGATGATTTTGATCTTTTACCAGCATAAATTTAACAATAATAATAAAGTGATAAATCTTTTTTCTTTATATGAATACAAATAGCTTTTGTTCTTTTCTTTGCAAACGTATTATAGCTATATTTCTTTATACACAGAAAGCTCAGCGCTAAGACGAAAACAAATTTCAAAAGCAATTGTTTAACCTAATACATTTTTTTTTCATTTAAATAATATATATTTGTTCTTATATGTACGAGTATACTAAACTTACACTAAATTCTAAATAAGTATCACATTATTAATCTTCATTCATCATTTTAATGAAAAGTTCGGCTAACTTTTCTGCCTCATCAAGCATTTGATCCCTCTCCATGCCGTTTGAAATGCGTTTAAAATTTTGTATACTCGTTAATAAGTTTTCAAAACCTTCCAATTGTTCTTCCAAATCACCATCTGGTATATCATCGTCAGTACCTTAAATATGCAAAAAATTAAAAAATATAACTATCTTGGATATTACAAAAAATTTTATACCTGGTACTTTCACATTTGACCAAATATTGTTTTTTAATACTTCAATAACTTCCTTGTAACCTGTTGGTTCACCATTATCCTCCTCATCGTTATGAAGTTCAATTACATCAAATTGAAATTTGCAGCTCTCCTTAATACCGCCATAAGTCAGTCCTTGATTGACATCATCAAATAGTTTGCTAGTCAGCAAAACCCCTAAACTAATATCGTTGTTCGCTACCAGATCGCACAATTCTGGCAGTTGTTGCTTAAATGATTTCTAAATGGTATTGAATCGCAATTATTAATAATGGTAATTTTCGAAAACAATATTTATGTACATACATTATTGGCGTCAAAGTAGACAATCAGCATTTCTGTCGCTTTTAACATCTCACTGGGTAATTCGCAAATATTTCCCTCATAGGGCAACAATGCAATCGTGTTTTCATAATATTTCGTTTTTAGATCGCAAAAGTAAGTCACATACGTGCATGATCCAAAGGACACAGATGAAGTTTTGTCTGCAGAATTACCATTTGCAGCTAAAATATCTGGGTAAATGAAAAATGTTTAAATTAATGTTATGAAACATTTACTAAAAGTTGTCAACAAAAATTGATGCAAGGATATTGCTAATATTTATAGTAAGTAAATATTATATACATTCCTATATACCTTTCACTATTTGGTTCGGTATTTGCTCGCCCTTTGATGTCACAAGTACTAAAGGATTCATGATTAATTTTGTTCAATTTTATTTATTCGATGCCAGATAGTCACACAAACAGGATTGAAGTTTTTATTTTTTTTTATTTATTTTATTGTAAACTTGAAGAAAAATCAATTCTATTTGCAAGTACAGCATGATTCAGAGATATAATAAAATTGAATTAAAAATAAAATAGTGTGTATTGGTAGTGAAAGAATTTAAAATCCGACCACTGCAGTATAAAGAAATTAATGATGTTGTTTCAACACGAATAGATAATGATTTTTAATGAAAGCTTTAATTTAAGTTTTTCATGTCAGAGAGATATTTGGAAGTTTTGACAATCCTAGCCGAGAAGTGAATGCATTAATAAATGTTTTCGGTTTTTGGTTTGGCGAGTGCTCGAGTCCCAGACATTAGATATTTAGCTTATCTTAATCATTTAACTTATATTGATTACTTTTTTGTTGTTTCTGTGTTTTAATCTTCAAAATTCAAAACTTTTTCAAAAACACGAAAATACGTCACCCTACTTCGTTTTGCATGTATCGAAAAATATTAGTGCATTCCATTTATTTGTCTCGTATTTGACAATCGGCGGCTTTTTTCTACGTGTCAGAATATCAAATATTTTATCGGTATACGTGTAGTTAGCTCAATAATATTTTGTTATATTAACAATATCAATTGAAATGCACACCGTATTAACTCGTGGTAATGCCACTGTTGCATATTCCTTGAGCGTTTTGGCCTGCCTAACATTTTGCTGTTTTCTCTCAACCGTCTTTCTGGATAGCAGGACTACTGCACACGTAAACACTGTAAAGGTACTTGTGTAAGTATACTCGTTTTGCTCACCTACTTATATTTAACCGTCTGCAAACATTTCCAGTAAAAATGTACCCGACTACGGTTCCTCACGCGAGAAACATGATTTAGGTTTCATTACCTTCGATTTAGAGACAAATCTAACTAGCCTCTTCAATTGGAATGTTAAACAATTGTTCCTCTACTTGACCGCTGAGTATAAGACACAGGATAATGTCTTGAATCAAGTTGTGCTATGGGATAAAATAATTTTGCGTGGTGAAAAATCTTCATTAGATTTTAAGAATATGAATACCAAATATTACTTCTGGGACGATGGCAATGGATTGAAGTAAATAATTTACTTACTACCTAAATTACAATGATTATACAAATTTATTTCTTTATTTTAGGAACAACAAAAATGTTTCACTATACCTATCATGGAATATAATACCAAATGCAGGCTTGTTGCCCACCGTCAGATCACTTGGATCTCATATATTTAAATTCCCAACTGAATATTCGGTTGCTCCAGTGTAATGAAATGTCTTCGTAGAAACATTGAGAGTTATCATCGATTTAAAAATATAAAATATTTAAAACAAACAAACAAATTAGATTTATGTCAAGTTTGCAAATATTGTAATTTGGATAAAAGTAAATAAATTATAACATATAGTAAAAATTCTACTCTTTTCCGCTTAAACCTGACAAAAAACAGAAATCAAAACTGGCACAATTAAGATCTGGATATTGTAGTCACCGTGATTCCAATACAACCATACTTGGGCCCTGGTACACCTAACGCATGTACTGCATGCAAAGCTCCTGAAAACATACTCATATAACCCTTTCTCTCTGCCCCGAACCCGACGAAACGACTCTTCCTGTCCCTTCATGGCATAGACTACTCTCGCCTGCTGCTGATCGAGATTGGGACGCGGCTACATCAACAACAATAGAAAGCTTGTTAGAAATTCTGGGTAACTTGTTAGTAAGTAAAAAAAAGTTTATTTCCAAGATGGTTAACGATTTTGAATGAAAGGAAGTATTCCATAACGATCGATTTTTCAAGAAGTCTATGATTTGTTCGTTTTTTTTATATTCAATAAATGAGTATCTTAAAATTTAGAAAAAATAAAAAATAAACAAATATATAAAACATATTTCAAATGTAATTTAAACCGATAAATATTTCAATTGCTATCGATATATAGCAACGATCGTTTAACGTAGAACTACATAACTTGCGTCTGCGCGAGTTTTTTATGCATTGCGTACGAGATTAACTTAAAATTAACTCCTGCATGCTATTTAACGATAACATCATGGATAGGTACTATTGTTAGCTGGACGCAAAAACCAAAAAAAAATTTATTTGAATTTAAATACAAACAATTCTGTTTAACTTTTAGGTTAACAGCGAAAAAGGTATATGCACGCGATATTGCGTCATTTAGCCTAGTTCTATTATTAATTAATATAAAAACTGTTTAACTTTTTGATAATTAAAAGTAACTGAAGAAAGTAAGTAGAAAGAAATATGTTCGCGTTCACAGCTCTGTTAGTAAAGTTGGAAGTCTCTCGCAACGCTCAGAAGTTTTTACTGTCAATGGCTTAATTTCCCCGCATATTACAAATAGATACTAAATATTAAACAATGCCCAAAAAAAAAAAAAAAAGAAACGTATGTTTTAAAAGTTCTCGGACGACTTAGTTTTATCTAAAATATTTTTTTATTATTTATTCATGGGCTGTCCTTTGGTAGTCTGCTAAATAAACTTAAGTAGAAAAAACTTATACATAAGTCACTTTTTAAACATTAATAGAATTACGTTATTTTGTTGTTATGGTTGGGTTCGCGAAGTTTTACACAATAAATGAATATGATTATTATGCATTACAAATACTTTTTTGTGCTTAGATATACATATACATATATATATATATATATTTATATTAATTTAAATGTTTATGACTAATCAGTATGTGTAAGTGTGTGTGTGATGTAAACTTATAAAATATCCACTTTTTTTATTTATATACTCTATATATCTTAATTTATTAACACTCAGAAGACGCAGTTTCCGTCGACAATTTGTGCAAGTCAGCGTAGTTGGCTATGGCGCGATGTAGGAACTCGTATTGTGCCTGCAAGAAATTACACAAATATTTAGAAGTAAAAAACTACTAAAATTTTGAAGTAAAAAAAAAAATACTCACAAATGAATTTAATAGCCTTGGCCGCTGAGATCTAATCTTTCGGGCCGTTGAACAAATATCAATGCCCTTCTCGGTTCTCAACTGTTGCACCAATATGCACATAGTCACAAATATTGAGCTCCTATCGGTGCCCAGACTGTAATCATATTCAAATTAATTACATTTTAGTATTATAACGCTACTGCTTTTGTTTTTATTATTGTAAATACAATTCACCTGCAATGTACAGTCAATGGCGATTTGCAATCACTACTCTTATCCCTGCTATGATGATTTAACGCCTGATCGACCAATTCGATTATACCACGACATACTTCTGGTACCTCACCGTCGACAGTCGGCCAACCGTTATATTGAAATTGTGTGACTTTTATTGTATCATCAATTTTACAATTTGTTACATTAAACTCCCGACGCGTATAATATGGGCAACTTTCACTTTGCATATATTTCACGAGAATATGATCGTATTGAATTTCATCATCTGCCCAATAACGGGGACATTTTCTGGGGCCATCCCCTATCTAAAAGTGTGAAGAAAAATGTATTAGTTACTGGTAAATATGAGTTGAGTATTTAATTTCAATAAATTTTTGCACATACCTCCGATATCATCACAAGTGTGGTGATACTTTGTTCAGAAATCATGCGCCAAAAATCACCAATTGTATTCTCTAATGGATCTTGTGTAATTATAAATGCTTCGGAATTATCATAGCCCTCAATGAAAGAGGCATTTATATAGGTGGAATTCTCTTTCATCGGTATGGGTGTTAGTATAACCTGAAAGACCACAAAGAGGCAAAGATTATTAGACGAAATTTTGTTGGAATAAGGATGACGGTGTCGGCAAAAGCATAAATTTTAACGCAATTTTTATTTTCTACACACATTTGCATTTTCGACGTGTTACAAGACATCATTCCAATACTTACTCTATTCCGATCGTATGGTATTACAGCTTCGTTTCGATTTTTCGACATATTCTCTTTATTGCTACCGATCTCTGAGGATTTTGCTGTTTCATCAGTTATGGCAAGAAGTTTCTACAAAAAATTATAATAAAATATAAGTATTATGTATTATCATTGGAACATGTGATTTTCATTGCGTACAAACCTCAAATTCAATTTCTAATTTACTTTTATCCTTGCCATCATTTAACTTTTGCTTTAAGCTATCAATTTTACTAGATAGCGATACTGCAGAAAGCTCCGTATTGCCGAACTGTGCAATATCCAGCAAAGAGCGATATAGAAATATGTATTGTTTCTGAAAATTACATTGAGGAAGATAAATCAATAGTAATATTAAACAATTTTATTTTGTCTCCTACCAGCGATTGTACGAGGAAGTTTCGTTGATGTCGTAAATCGCAAACTGTATTAAATATAGATACTTGATCTTCCTCCTCTAGCTGCTGTATGAGTGAATCTAATGCTACAAGTGTTCCGGTGCGTCCAACACCAGCGCTGCAATGCACCAAAATAGGACCACGTTGTACCGAATAGACAGCATTGATTTGCCGTACAAATTTTATAATGCCATGTGGATGTTCAGGTGCCATAAAATCTTTCCAAACCAAATAATGGTATTGGGTAATTTGACGTCGTTCCTCATCATCCTCATTGCTAGTTGCATTTCGTCTGGTAACATCTAAACTTCGTACCAAGTAATCACCCATTCTTCGTTCAGCAACAAATTTTACGGTTATTTCACCAAATTGTTTTGCATCTGATATCTTTTCGGGCCAATATTTGGCACATTTTGATTTATTATACTCCTCTAAATTCGTTAACATCACTATAATCTCTAAATGTTGTTCCCAAATCATACGCCAAAAATCACTAACCGTACTCTCCATGGGTCCTTGTGCACAAATGAACTTCTTACGTTCCTTATAGCCAATAACGAAATTAGCATTTATATAATCTGAGCCCTGTATGCCATTCAGTTGTGACAATTTCACACGTGTTTGATCGTAAGCTTTAATATCTGGATAGCGATTTTTCGATGCATTTTCTTTCATATCGGAATTTTTTGTTGTACGATCACTAAATCGATTTGGTAACATTTCATATTCACGCAAAAATCCATAATCAGTATCCTTGTGACGATTTCGATAGGCAGTACATAGATCTGCTTTATGTATTGGACCAATATCGGAAGCTTTGCCATTGCCCGAACCGATAAAGTGTCGATGATTGGGCGTACGACCACGAAACAGTGCACGACTATGAGCATAATAAGAAGTAAATTGTAGATTTAATTTATATTGAAGCGAATTAAGTATTTCCTTAAGGCAACATACCTCAATGAGTCCCTCAAACTGATCTCTTCCCCAGGCACCGTATTTTTGGTGTTGTAATGATGCAGGAAACATGTGGCCACAATAAGAACCAGTACTATACCAATGAGTATGGCTAGAGCTTGTATGAAAATATTTAGCACCACTGATAAGTCTTGATCCGTTTGAAAGTTTTCTGGTACAGTACCGGGCGTGATAATTTCAAAATAATTACTATATTCAGTAAGCACAACATCACCATCCCGTACTGAAATGGAAATAAATAAAATATTGCATGATAAGTTGAAATATGTATTTACTTAAAAAATAAACTAGATAGAATGTTTACAACTTCTTTTGATTCAGTTGAATATTTTTCGAAATGTCAAGACCTTCCTTCGATTTTGCTTCCTCTAAAACTTTTACCTACCTATAACTTCCAGAAACCCGGTATAATTGCTGTTCATATCTATCTCGCCGTCCACTATTTCATCGGATGATAGTTGATAGCTGGGCACTGCGTTCGTGTTTGACTCATTTTCGCCGAGCATTAAATTATCAAAACTTATTTCACTATTGATGCCGGCAATAACTTTAGGGTTACGCCTACGTCGGCGTTTTTTATCCAAAATTTTTGAAGCGGCCTCTGTGAGATTGCTGGCTTTTAATTGTTCGCGCTGCGATATTTCCTGTGGGGTCTTAAATACCGCAGATGAAGCTGAAAACAAAAAAAAAAAATATATATATTCATATTTAATGAAAACTGAATTAAAAAGAAAAAAATAAGACTCACCATCCACATTTTCAACAGGTGGTACTTCGACTTTCGCAGGTGGTTGAATACGCAAAAATGGTCTACCTCTCAAACAATGGCGACATGTTTTATCCGCCTCAGCGGCACTTAATCCCTGATGCTCAAAAAATCGTTTACCATCACCCAAAAAAATTTCCGAGCGAAAATGCTCATCGGAAAACATTTCTGCCAAATAAGCACCACCCTCGGTATTATTTGGTGAATGCACTTCTTGATAGGTGGATATGTTCAGCTTATCAGGCGGTGGTAGTTCATTCTTATTGTTACCCATACGCACTAAATACAGGCGGTAGCAACAAATTGGCCCGTTTCGTTCACTAATGCGTGGCACAAATAACTTAAATACACTCTTTTCATCAGCTGCCTTTATTTTGGTCCACATAATACGATTTATCGCGTCTGGCACAGCTATGGGCATAGTACATTGTGCGCTTGCTGGTGCGCCAATTTTGCGGTGACGTGTTATTGCCGATACGGTGACAGTGTAATTAGTGTTTGGATTCACACCATTGTAAATTGTATTGTGATGCGGATCGTCGACACGTCGTATCTTGGGTCCCCATGTTTCATTTCTCAATTTGCCATCCAGTTTATAGGTAGCGAAACCATCCAATTGTATGTGATATGATACTACTTTGCCGTTAGGCACTTTTGGGCTATGCCAACGCACTGCTACAGAGTGACGCGTATTATTTTTGTGTTCGCATGTTATGTAAAGATCAGTAGGTTCGCTAGCGACACCATCCATTGTTGTGCCATTTACAAACTCCGACCAGGGACCACATTGTTTTGTAAGATCGCTACAGGCGCGTACTTTAAATTCATATTCAGTTGCTGTTTTGAGATTATCAAACATATATGGCAGATTACGTGAATTTTGTGAGTAAACAGTCTCTTCAATAATACGTGGTGTCTCGCCAGCTTCTGCAACCACCAACTCATAGTATTGTATATATGGCAATAATTCAGGTGGTGGTGGATCCCAACCAATTGTTATAGTTGAGGGTGTACTACCGGTGGTGCCGACTTTTGGTATAAATATTGGATCTTTCTCTAAAGTGCGTACCGGTAGTGGATATTGATATGGCGGTCCACTACCAATGCTATTTTTAGCGCTTATACGTAAATTATAACTGGTATTTGGTTGAAATTTCTCCAGAACATAAGATGTATTACGTCCGCCAATTTGATGATTATAATACTTGAGCTCCGATGAACCTTCCTCCTTATATTGTATGAAATAATTTTGCACCGGATCATTTCCATCATTGACAGTCCAATTTAAATAAATTTTATCTGCACCCACAACTTTTACATAGTCTATGCTAACATGCGGCTTTTCCATAACCAATACGGCCATATCCTTTTTCGCCACAGTAGCACCCAACATATCATAGGCAACACAACTGTATGTGCCATTCTCCTTCTTGTAAACTTCAGGCAAACTAAGCGTATGATTTATATATGTGGAATTTACCAAACTGAGATTCGAGGCTTTATCCAAAAAATCAACAGCAGAATTTTCATCTTTCAACCATTTCAATTGCTTATAAAATGTTTCGTTGTGTGGAAACACCTCGAAGAGGCAGTATAGTTCAACAGCGTGTCCGCTCTTTTGTTTCACCTTCTCCTCACTACTCGCTACAATACGCGGCGTTTGCAATACTTGCACAGTAAAACTAGATGGCACACTATCATTTCGTATTGGCTCGCATGTATATATTCCCGCATCGGCAAATTGTGCATCAGTTACAAATAATATACTTTCGTAGCTGCGTTTCGTTTCCTCTTCGATTTCATTGATATTTTCAATGACAGACGGCTTGGTAAACGATGTGGTTATTCTGGCGGGGAGAAAAGATAAAAGGGGTTAATATTATGAATGATAAGTAGCGTCAACAATCAGACGAAGTAAATGTTCTTCGTATGAGGCATAAGCTGTAATTATTTAATTAACACATTGCCACTGCTCAATTAATTTTATGGTGATCTAAGAAAAACTTTATTAGTTTCTATATAATTTAGTTGTGCGCATATGTAAAATTATACAAATATTACTGAATCATCTGTTGATTTTGTGTTATTACCTTTTATTATTATTTGCGATAATTTCTTCGTTGTGCTTCCATGTAACATTGCTTACAAACTGCTGAGTTGTATTACAGATAATTGTAAAATTATGGCCAATCTCAACGGCTATCAGTTCTAAAAAAATTAGAAAGAAAAGAGCGATTTAGTAATATCATATAAATATATCGCAAAAATATATAATAAAATTAAAAAAAAAAAAATAATTTGATTTTTCTTAATTTTTTCCGATGCCTATTTGGAATATCAATTATTACTTTGAAATAGAAGATTATCAAAGAATTAGGTTTATATACCATTGCTCTGAGGATATTTTCATGAAAATATTTTATTTTTATTAATTAAGAAGTCATTTTCTACATTCAAAACGAGACTTTCAAGAAAGTATGAAACTTGTAGGTCAAATCTTTTGGTTCGCTGAATATTTTGGTGGATTTTCATGTATATTGTATAGGCTTCTGAAACTTGACACCCGAGAAATACAATAAATTTTCAACAATTTCAAATATTATGAATCTCAAAGATTATTATAAATGTATGTAAGAGTGCTGTGTAAACGTATGTGACCATTTCCTCATTTTCCGGCTGTTCCCGTGTCTCACACCCCTCCAAATAGGCCAACTGATTGGGCGTCGTCAGTGTACACTCATACCAGCATCAACTTTTACTTTCGTCTCTTATCTCTGCTATAGCTTTAGAAACATTAATTTATTTATACAATTCTTCTTTTATTTCACCAACTTGGCATTTTTTTTTTGTTTTCATTTACTATATGTATATACATCCGATAAACAAAAATATAGCCGCATATATGTATTAAATACACACACGTATGCATACACAAACTTATGTATACTACACCCCGTTTGCTTAATGCGCTTTTGGAAAATTTATGTGCACCTTTTTCTCGTTTTATTAATTGTGTATATTTGTGATTCATACAAAGGAATGTATACCTTGAGATTGTACTCCTTTGAAGTGTTCATTAATAAATAAAACCATGCAAATGAGTATTTTTAAAGTCGAAAACAAAAACACCCGCTTCCGGTATAAACTGTGCGTAGAAAAACTGTTCAAATTTGTTTGCTTCATTTTTTCCTTAATTTGTTTATGTTTTCCGTAGGCAGTTGTTGTACTTAATTTATAAAAAAAAACTTAATTCTATTTTTTTATGACAAGCACAATATAAAAATATTCTAAGAGCAACATCACAACTGTAAAATATTCGATATATGCCGGATCCACAAACAAATTTCTACTTCCTAATACACAAGGCAGGGTTCTATGATTCAATCAATTTGTTGCACATTGCTAAGGTGGGTGGTTTAAACCGGTTGGAATTTGAAACAAAGAGAGACACGTAGAAATTGAGTGAAAGTATTTCATATTTTTAAATGTGTTTAAAGAATTTAGAAAACAAAAATGTTAATGAAAAAACTTGGCATTAATATAATTTAACAATAATAATAAACATTCCAGGTCCAAGATTATCAATCAATTATTAATGTCACTATTTTTCATTCTGTTTTTCTTACTGAGCGGACTTTACCTTTTCGCAGGGTCGCATGCGGATTTTACGATAATTACTGAAAACCAGGCTAATCCTGCTGCAATGATGAATGGGATTTATGATTGAAAATCACTTAAATCCATTATATTCTAATTCTTCTCTGATGTTAACATAAATATATTATTATCATTCTCATTCCTTTAATTTTATAGTTGCGGGACCCAAGCGTGGTGCCCATGAAGGTATAAAATGAAACCTTATATACAGCGAGGCACTTGTTTCCGCGCCCGCTCGAAGATTCTCTCTGATGAGATCTCTGGTGAAGTGAAGCAGCAAAAAACGCCTAATGCATCCTTACACCTAATACATCGCAGTGGCCCTAGCAAATGCTTCATCTCTCTTAGCTCTTATAAAGTCTCCACATGGCTTAGTTACTAATATATAGTAATATACGCACTGTTTATCTGGTGACTGATGTCCAGAGTATAGCGAATTCACGGAAAAAACGAAAAATATAGCGAGTCCGAAGAACAACAAAGCAGTTGGATACCAATTGAAATATTCAAATGCGATATACAGCGAATGTATAAGCTTCTTTGCAGAATTGAGCCGGACGGAAGTATGTCTAGCGACTAGAACTAGAATGTGTTCTGCAATCTCCGCCAATTATCAAACAAACAGTCTTCAACTAACTTTGAAGTCATAGACAATTTGGGCTTATCTAGGAACTAGCTTAAACATCAGTCATCAACATTAGGCTACTTTAGACGTAGTTGGCAATTGAAATGTAAGAAATCCTCTCAACGAACAAAGACTGCAAGTCGCTTATTCTTCCGCCCTACTTTATAGAGCAGATGCGTGGACGTTGACAACATTCGATTAATTCGTTTTAGGAGCCTTCAAGAGGAATGTTTTGCGGAATCTCTGCTTGTGAGAAACGGCGAATACTAGGACATTGAATCGCTGCTGGAAGTAAAGGAAGACGAAGAGTTAAACTTAATTGCAAGGATCAGGTGGATGTGGGTCTGGCTTCGCTTGGTATCTCCATATGGCTCCGGATGGCTATTGTAAATTCGATGCCCACGTTAGAAAAGGAAGGAGAAGCGTTGATGAAGCTATGTGGTTTGGACTTGTATACAAAGATAAAGCGTGAACAGTAATTTTAATTTATGTACCCATCCCAAGTGGCTCTCCCTTTTCAAATTTAAAATTAAGCTGAGGTTTTTACTAAACGTGCATTATATATACACACTCGTACATACAAATGTGCCTACTATACATATGTACATATGTAGCCCCAACAAAGCTGATTTAGCAATTGTTTGACTTAATAGAGAGTTTAGTATCAATTTAATTCAATAATCTAATTCAGAAAAGTGTTGATCTTCATTGTGAACAGTGAGGTTATGAGAAATACAAGATGTATTACATTCACGTTTTGCTATTTTTATATCTACAAGGACTACTCCTAAATAGTTGGTATGCAAACAAGTCCACAGGGTTCACTTAAGGCTTAATCTGAGTTTCCGATCTTTTCTAGTAACACGAGTGAAATACACGCTTTGATATTAGCAAGAGGTGGCTCCAAGGGCATACTTAATAAAAATCTGCAAGAAATCGATGGTATATCCCTACTTGCCCGTACCATAAACGTATTGAATAGTTCAAATTTATTTGAGCACATTTGGGTATCGACGGATAATGAGGAGATAAAGCAAGAGGCGCTGAAATGTCAGTGATGAAATTATTCTAATTTGTGTTTGGCTTTAATTAAACAAACTAATAGTTGCTCTTGTCTTAAAGTTGGTGCTCGCGTACACGATAGAGATCCGTTTTATGCCCAGGACAGCACTACATCTTTGGAGTCCGTTAAGGAGTTTCTGCGCGCTCATAATAACGTCGAAAAATTTGCTTTATTCCAATGTACCTCGGTATTTTTGAAAAACCAATACATCATAGAGGCTCTAAAGCAATTCGTGTCAAAGGATTGTGTTTTTGCGGCAACGAGGTAGACTCCATTTAACATACGCTGATTCCTAGCCAATTTTAAAATATTGAATTTCGCTTTCAGATCACACAAATTACGCTGGCAAAGGCAAGCAGATGAAGCTGTTATTCCGTTAAACTTCGATCCAATGCACAGACCGCGACGTCAAGATTGGTTAGGCGAACTGATAGAAACCGGAATGTTTTATTTCGCCACAAGACATTTGGTGGTGACCGAAAATCGATTTCAAAATGAAAAGTAAGTAAATAGTTAAAGTGAATGTGGTATTAGGTCGGAACAGTGTAGGATGGGCAATGTGGGAGAGTCAAGAATAAAAATAACAGAGGTATCCATTATACCAGCATAGAATCAAGATGCAGTGGGAGTGCTCGGAGAAACGAGTTAATTTAAAACTTCCTGAATCGGCACTAACCGCGTCTTCTTTTACTTCTGAAACGACTGTAAGACCTGCTGGTATTTTGTAATGCCTTCAAGGTTCAGTTCAGTTCGAACTGAAGTAAAGGTCTTGTAAGACGTTAGCACTTTTAGCGAAGTCTAAGACAGCTTTCATTAAATTTTGATACTTCATTAAGTTTTTTCAACTGTGAAGCTCTTAGATTTCTAATTTCAGAGGAGGTGTTCCAGCTCTCACTAATTCTTTCCTTCTGGTGGTTAGGTAGTGACGTTTCATTAGGCCAAGAGCCGTTCTGCAATCCTTTCGAATCCATGAGTAAAATATTTGCGTGTTATTCTTTGGTGTTCTTGTATATTGGCGATCCTGTATGCCATTAGACATTCCATTTAACTCTGATCCGTCGGCCAGCCCTTTTAGAACTTTCATCGTGCATGTTTTTAATCACTTCTGTATTTCCTGTACTAGTTGAGTACCCATGCCCCTTTCTTCCTTCTGGGGAGTAAAGATCAAAAATTTTATTATAAAATATAGATGGTCTTTGTATTTGGATATTTGTGACTTTCGAAGAACTCCTGAGTCTTTTACAAAGAGCTGCTTGCCAAAGTGACTTTCTTTATACAAAATTCTTCTGGATCGGCTCGGTAAGAGAGAGGATGTAGACTAAAAAGAAGGTATCTCCAAAAATTGCATAAAGACGTCAGACGACGTTAGCTTTTTTAAGCCAATAAATTACGGAAAAATGAAGCCAAAGGTCATAGAGATTAAACCCATTAACAGATCGCCGATTTAATTGACTGCTCTGCCAGCTACTAAAATCATTCAGCAATGTTTAGTTAATTAAACTCTGAATAATTGGGTTGGCTATATTCCTCGACGACTTATCTAAAAAGTGAGGTTTCAGGCAACCATAAAAAACAGTTCCACCAATCGGAGTGATCATTAAAAGGCTGACAGTGTTTAAGCCGCCAATAAAGTTATTTACTTATGCGTTGATAACGAGTCAGGATTCGTTTTTGTCAACATCTGGCGAATGAACCGGAACAGAAGATATCAAAGGCGCTCTCCACTGTACAATGAAATAAATGGGAAAACAGAAAGACGAGTCTGAGCGGCTTAACCGCGACCGTCAAGGGGATCTTAAGAAGATAACACGTGCACTTCGTGTGCTTTTCTATGCGAACTGCTGTGAACTTATTTGGCATTTCAAAGCAATAATATGCCTATGTTTGTCATAGCAGCCATTATAAGTCTACGGCTCAAGAAACAAGTTGTTTCGACCAGTGAGAGTTGTTGTAGATGAGACACTTTTAGTGGGCAGGGAAAAACATTCACCCATGGCTGAGAATGAGGACTCATTACATGTAGGATAAATGTAAACTATAGCGGGGTATTGGAGTTGGCATAGTTAGGAATTGATTTTTCTACAGCATCCAGATCTTATTGAGGCTCGAGCTCTTCATTTGCTATGGGGTGAATACAGATTACGCCACTCTCTGTGAATTAAGATCAAGATATTGTTATCGGCCGAATTTGTACCTATCAAAATTTGTCCCCATACACCCAATTGATATTCTGCATGCAATGAGACCCCGCACGATACTAATAACCTATTTTCATTCACCTTAAAACCTACTCGTCTTACCCCTTCTGTTCCCAAGCCGTTAAAACAGCTCGTTTACTTGATCTTCCGTTCGATGAACTTGATAACTTCCACTAGTCATTTCTAACCCTGCTTAGGAGTGTTCGAAGAAGGGAGACGATCTGTAGTTGTTAGGGGAGCTTGGGGATATAAAATTGAAACAATGGCTGAGATTAGTGCATACTATTCTGAGGATCTTATGTTTTAATTTTTCAGAGTTTTAAGTTTTGGTCTCAAAATCCTACCGATAACTGCCAACCGCTGTTGCGAAGAAAATCCCTTAATGTTGAATAGAAGCACTGGATTGACTGTGCTTAAGGTTATCGAAGCTGAATGTCGTCTGGGGAGTGACAAGAGGACAGCAAGTTTGTTTTCTTTTATTTTATAGATTGCTAACCGGAAGAAATCGGAGTGAATCTCTCTTCCGCTCTTTTTAAATTGTATGCTCATGATTTTCGTTGATAATTTTCCCTACCATACATTTAGTTATTTGCTTAATGCAATATAGTGATTATTTATTTACAGATGCGGTATAGTTGAAATCGACCCAGCCGACGCCATGGAGATCGATACATATACCGATGTTGTTGTAGCACAGTGTCTAATTCAAGACAGATTGAGTAGCAGAGACGCAATTCATAATAAAAACCAAATTTGAGCAAAAAATATAAATACTCTGTGTAAGAGATAAATAAAAGATACACACTAATTCGTTTGAGTACTATAAAATATTTAAACATATTTTTATTGTTATTATTATTTTTTATTTATAAGCTTAAATTAATAGTGTATAATAAATAATTTCGTTTTTTTTTTTATTTGCTTTCGTCATATATTTTTGTATATGCATGTACGTATTGTATGTTTTGTATGTTTTTATGTATGTTTTATGTATGTATGTATGTTTGTTTATATTAATACTATTATATGGGGTATTTACATATTGTAAGCAACGTAAATGGGATCAAGTTGATCAGCCAAAAAGCCATCACGTAAATGCATTCGTTGTTTTTCGCCGCGACTGTTAATGGGCACAACGCCTATAAATGACAGCAAAGGAAAATTATTTAAATTTATTTATTATTTATTAATTTCGTTCATTAATTACCTGGATCGACCACTACAACAACGCCAACAATTAATTGATGCTCCTCTAAAACGGTATTAGTTACCAAGGGTACTAAGTCCAATGCTTCTGATTCATTGCCATCAAGCTCAACAACTACAACCAATAGATTGGTCCAAGTGAAGACAGCGCTGTGTATATAAAAAATATATATATATATTATCTCGTGCAAGCTCCAAACATTTATAAACAATATTCATTTACACAGAGAGTACTTACCACTCAGCGATCTTCTTATGACACCTTAATACCGAATTCTCAATATCAATTGGATGATAGTTCATGCCGCGTAATGTAATGACTTCGTCCAGAGCACCTACCACGTAAACAGCATCGTGCAACTCCTGATCATTGACATTAGTTATCAAACTCGGATCACCACTAATGCTGGGCGCTTGCGTTCCACCACCACCACCAGTGGACATTGATGAGAAATTCAAATGTAGCTGACTCATTGAATTGAGCGATTCATTGTCACTATCACGACTGGCTACACTGGGTGTTGTTTCGTCTAAAATGGAAACCGCTTGCGAGCATTCGGTTCGTCGTAGGAAGCCTAAATAGCCGGTACGTGCGTAGACTTCTGTTGTTGCACCAGTCACCAACTTAGCGTTAAAGTGATCATTATAATCGGTTTCGTCACCGTAAATGGTGAAATAGCCATTAGCGTTATGTGGTGATTGCACCTGTAAATTATATGTGTGTTTTACGTGATTTCAATGCAAATTAAATGAGGAGATTAGATTTAGGAATGAAAGGCGGAACTATTTTGTATGCAAATTAGCGCGCTAGCAGAGACCGCCCGAGTAGTCGACCGATATCCAAAGAATGTTCAATATGAATGTATTTTGAAGAAGGGAGGTGGAGAGGACCGAAAAATGATGAAACGGACAGCATTAATGATGATTTATGGGAAATAGACTGAGATATGAATAGTGACTGCTGTAACTAAGGGTCTGCCTGTACGTGCTAGCATGCGTAGAGTCGAGGGTTCGAGTACCCTCGGCGTATTTCTTATATGAAGTAAATAATTCGTCAGCCCTTTGGAGGCGGTCTAAAACAAACACTATTGGAAGTCGAACCACAACCTACGTACATCAGGAAGGCAGTACATGAAATACTTCATATAGAATTTATGAACTGAGCCCGATATGCTGAGAGACTACACAGGCCATTTACCCACAATCCTTCGCAAATCTTCTTCCAGTGAAATCCACCACCCATTGCAGATCAAAAGCTCGAGCTGCCAAGGGAGACCTGAGTGATACTGGCACTGTTAAAGTCTGGTTATTGGTCGTCTCATTTCCTATCTTGCTTGCCATGAGTTTCAGCACAACACTTACTACTTCTTTGTATGCCCTCTTTAAAGAACTCATCCAAAACTTCTCTCCCTCTCGAAATCTCGCGTCAGATGACCTCGTGAACATAGACAAATTTTGGCTGCTTTCAGGCGGCGTTTGCTAGCTTCTACAACAACATGCTGTCTCAAAGTGAAGGTCCTTTCAATTTTGGAACATACATCACAAAATTGGGGAGGAGTTCGACTGAAATTCGCTTTGACAGTTGGATGATCGGAGTGAAAATATGATGATTTCTTGAATTTCTTAAAGTAAGTAAATAAAAGAAAGGTAGGAATTATGAAGGTCGGGCTCTAGACTGTGGGAGTGAAAAAGGGACAAATATTTGGATGGAAAGAATATAGTGGATAGTTCTGAGAGCAGATCAATATGTTTATATCATATAAAGAGACTGGGTTGCTATAAAAAAAAATAAAGTTAAGTGGCAAAGCTCCTCTCACACATCGTTATAAACCGTTTCACACCCCAACACCCGTACTTACCCATATTTCACCCAAATGCGAGTCACCACAATGACCCTTCGTCTCTGGATTGGCAATGATCACCTTTACACCCGGCAATAATTTACCCGATTCGATGAGACACAGTGAATTTGGTGCACCGCGTTCCACTAGCGCTACGCGATTATTACGCAACGCACGTAAATCCACATAGACCTGTGCACTTTCCGCCGAACTAGCACCTTGCACACATATTGCAGGATTGACACGACAACCGAATGAAGTGGACACACAGCGTGTATTCAAACCGAGTGCTTGGAAGAGTTTACAAAATTGTTGTGTCAATTGTACGCGTGGACGCTCCTCAGCCACCACTACACATGTGCGTACACAACGTAAATCGACATTGCGTTGTTTGAGCATCGGTATTGAATTGCTGAGCGCCTTCGTGCAGAGCTCAATAACGCCATACGAACAGAACGTGTCGCGTACACGATAATGTGACAGTGTTGATAGCCAGAGACTGGGATTTGTTTCGACTTCGTAAGGAGCAATGAGTATCGAATGATGGCCGCTATACACACCAATGAGCGTCCACATAGCGAAGCCCAAACCACAATATGGATCCAGGCAGAGAGCAACGTGTCGAGAAGGATATAATTCGCAGGCTAGTTTTAAGCTTGCGCAGAGACTAGAAAGAGAGCTAAAACCAGAAATGTAATAGAGATAAGTTATTAGTGTTTTTTTTGTTTTTTGTAGCAAATAATTTTCTTAAATTAATTACGAAATTTCACTCAGGCTTACCGATGTGTTATATTAACACCACTTAAGCGGCCACAAGTGGACACACTAAAATCCAAATAAGCCGTCGAATCTAATGGCGCATTCGCAATTGACATTAATTTTCGTTTTGGATTATCATCAATATCCAATATGGGTGGCCAGGTTTTCGGATCAATGGAAGCAGCTGCTTCACGTGACTTCAATAATTTTATGATCGGTTGTATAGAGAGCACAATAACACTTTTCGAGACATCGACAATCATGCGCACAGTTGGTAGAGTTGTTATAAGATTTTGTGGATGTGGTGGTCGTATGGTAATGGGAATAGCAGCCAAATAGAGACAGCCGTAGAAAGCGCATAATAAATCCAGGCCAGGTGGAAAAATTAGAGCTAAATTGGGGGAAAAATAAATATAAAATTTATTTTTATTTAAATAATTTTGCATTTTTAGATTTAAAATTTTTGGAGGTTATGTAAAAAAAAAAAATGTTTAATGAAGAATATTATAATTTAGAGCAAATGACTCCGAGAGAACTCTTAAAAAAATATTAAGAATCAATAATAATATATTTAAAAAAATAATAAAAAAGAAATAATAATAAAAAAAATAATAATAAAAAAAATAATAATTAAATTAAAAAATACTGAAAATAAATATAAAAAAAATCTTTTCAAAATAAAACAAAAAATGTTTCCAGGCTCAAAAATGTTCATAAATTTATTATTAAAAAAAAACATTATTTAAATGAAGAAAGTCATTATTTAAAAAAAAAAATATTTTTATTTTAAATTCGCATTCTTATATTATATTAACTTTGATGGGAAATTTTCTTAAATTTTACGATACCGGCGAATTGAGTTGACTTTTGAAAAAATAGGAAAAAAAATGTTTGTCTTAAAAGGAGCTTTAGAGTCGGGTCTTAGAAATGACATACCAGAAGATGGATGCCGGAAAAAATGTTTTAATGCGCAAATTTTTAATTCGACGGCAGTGCCTCGCAGGTATGCACCGAGCATACTTACAACTTTAAACGCGTTTTTTTACCGAAATCACTTTTTTTAAACTGGCTGAAGACATAAATCGAACAAATCTGCTTACGAAATTTAGAAAGTACATTCGAAGTCGTATTAGTTTTTTTTTAATCAACAATTTTATGTCGTTTTTCATAGTGGAAATTGGAACTTTTTGTTAAAAACACGCAGCATTCCGCAAAAAAAAACATTCAGGACAAAAACTAAAGAGTGCACATCTTCGACCAAGGACCCTTTAGAAAAAAGGCGCCATCGGCGAAACGATGCCCACCGGCCATTTTGAAATTGATTCACAAGAAAAACTTTATATTTGTGCTATGAAACCTATTATTATTGAACCTATTTCACAGATTTTCGATTGATTTTTTTGTTGAGTTAAAATAAATTCATAAAATATGACTATTTTTTGCGCCCTAGACCAGCTTCTCACCTTAAGCATGTGCATCAGTGCGTCTGTTTGAATTCAAAACTAGTCCCTCAGTTTTTGAGATATCTCAAGCAAACTTGGGCCGCAGATGTACTTTTATACTGTATTAATCATTTATCGGACAACTACAAAAAATATAGATCCTAAACAACCGATTTGTTCAGATATGATGAGGTTTTGCGATAAAAATCAGTCCAAAATGTGGGAAATTTAGTATTTTACACACATATGTTCAAATAAATATTGACACCGAAAATCATCGAAATCGGTGGAATATATCATATACATATCTCCCATACAACCGATTCATTCGGACATGCGGTTTCAGTTAAAAAGTCTGTAAAAAAAAGCATCTAAGAGCGTTAAACTTGATTTTCTACACACTCAAATTTAAATACATATTGACACCGAAAGTCATTGAAATCGGTGGACTATATAACCCATAGCCACCATACCATACCGATTGTTCAAAGAAAAGATTTCAGTTAAAAAGCTCTGTCAAAAAAGGTATCTGTCTATACTATACACATGAATTTAAATTTAATTTTGCCCTCCCATACAATAAATTTATTATGTTCATAAAAGATATAAAGCCTTCGGAAGAGCGTACTTCTGGCTTGCTTAATTTATGATACTTACCAACATGATCACCGGGTTCGATTCGACCTCTTTCCTGTAAGAGTGCTGCTATTTTCTCCGCTCGTTTATGCAATTCTGAGCAGGTCAAAGTCTTTGCAATAGCACCTGTGGAAAATAAATTGAAAAAAAAAAATTATAATAATAATTGGTAAAACAAATTAAAAGTTTTCAACATCTAAAATAAAGCAACTGGTTTCTGCAGTTAGCAATATAAAAATTTTTAATATTCAATTAAATTTTAAGCATGCTTGGGCCGCAGTAGATGAGTTATGATAGTTGTAGCTGCCATGTAGAGAATAATGGTGTCAAATTCTGTGCTTACACCAACATCCAAAATTGTATAATATTAATTAAAACATAATAATTTTGGTAACCAGAGTCGAACTTCGGTAGGGAACATCAAGCCCGTCCACCTCGAGTGTATTTCTGATATGAAATAAAAGTTATTCATAAAAATCCGTCAACCGTACCGAGGCGGCTAATAATCTGTGGGTCTCTCCATTTATGGGGAAAATATCAAGACGCACAATTTGGAGGAGGTGTTCGACCAAAAATCGCTTTAGCGCTTACAAATTGTTCTTTTAAGAATTCATACATTTACGAGCGATAAACAAATATTTACCTTTCGAATTCAATAGCGTAAAAATGATATGATCCGGTGAGGTATTAGCACGCCAACGTAAAACGCCAGTTATTAATTGATGCTGGAAAAATGTTAAAGGTAATTAATAAAATGCATATTTGTGAAATTCTACTAAATTCAACAGACATGTTCTAAACTTTGGCTACACACAATTTTTTTTTTACTAAAAAATTTACGTACTGGTTTTTAAATCCAAGCTGCTCATTTAGTTTGAAAAAGTCATAAATTACTTTTTGTTATTATTATTATTATTATGGTTGTTTTGAGGGTTTGTCTAAACGTCAAAAAACGGTTCGAAAGGTAATATATACACTCCGTTAGCAATAAAATTTGTATGGGTAGCGAAATTTAGAACGTAACTGATAATGTTCATTAGCACTCAAAATCCTTCGAATCACCTACCTTTCGTTCATTCTCCTCGGACAAGCCGATGTCCCGACCTTGTGCGATGGCTAAACGGTTGCCTTGCACTAAATTCCCAACCATCACTGAGGCTGGCCCAACAGACGTGTCTGTAATACCACATCCAGATGATGAGCTTATTTTTGCAGTTGCACTTGGCACACCTTTTTTGATGTTAGTAATTTTGATTTTTGGTTTTTGGTTTTTTTGTTTTCATTATTGCAATATTATCATAATTTAAGTGATTTCATTCATTTTTCAACCAATTCGTTAAACGTTTAATTATGGCGTTACATTGTCACATACAGTTATATCAAAGTATTATTATTTATTTTGAAATATATGTATGTTTGTTTGTATGTATACGAGTATGTATTATTGTTCGTGTTAATCATAGCAATTAAGCAGTAGATGGTAGTGGTGGCAATGGTAGTAATACAAAGTAGTAGTAGTAGTAGTAGTAGTAATAGTAGTAGAAGTAGTAGAAGTGTAGAGTAGTTGGTGGTTGGTTATGTTTGCAAGTGTGTGTACAATGTTGATATTATGGTTGCATCAAAGTAATGTTTTTTTTTCGAAAAGAGGCAGCATAATGAAGAAAAGAAAAATAATTACATTTTTTATAATAATAATAATAATAATAATAAAAGCATTGTTAAAAACATTTTTTGAATTGTTTAATATACATATGTATAAGTAGTAAAATTAATGAAATGATTTTGAATATGAATATGGATGAAACTGAGGTAACATAGAAAATGCATATTTTTCAGATTTTCATGATTCTATCTCGTTGAAAATGAAGCAACCAAGTCATAATTAATTAATTGATGACGTAAACAATTTTGATGACAGAAAGATATGGAATATATTTATCCACACAATGTACAATACAAATGTATATGTGTTAATAAAACGAACGAACGCTGACAGAGAGCAAAACAGCAAAATTGATTAGATTGATTAATAATTGTATTATAGTTAAAAAATTAAAAAAAAAAAATAAAAAAAAATATTTTTATTATTTTATTTTAATTTTTGTTTTGGGAGCAAAATAATTACGAATTTAAAAAATTAAATTTTTTTTTGTTTCATTAAAGTAGCACGGAAAATTACGTTTTAATTTTTTCGAATTTCAACTACATTTTTGCATATTTTCGTAAGATATTTTTTTTTAATATAACAACTGCGGAATAAAATTTAAAATCAGTAATTTATTATTTTTTTAAATTTATTGTTTTATTTTTAGTTGTTCCAATTTTACTTAGTTAATTTTTCAACAATAAAATTGGTTTTATGAATTTATTTTCGAAGTAAAATAATTGTGAATTTAAAAAATAACAATAATAAAAAATTATAGTTTTTTAAACTTTCATTTTTTCCCTTAAAGCCAAATTAAATAAAAAAATGTTAAGTGTATATTTTTGTTGTAATATAAAAAAACTTTTCGTGTAAACTTTTTACATCTTTTTCTTAACGTACTTAAAAAAAAATGTACTTTTTCAACTCAAATCCTTATTTTGCTGATCTCTGAACACAATGAAAAAAAAAAACATTTTCAAACACCAATTTAAACGATCAATACGATAGCGGTAGAATTTTGCACAAAATTATTACACATATTTATTTTCACATATCCAATTAATACAATGTTTATGAGTGGGGCATGTATGTATGTATGTATTTTTAACTTTCACCACTGATGATATTTATATGTATGTTTGTGTGTGAAGATGTTCTTGAAAATATTTATATCAGTATCTTGTGCACAAATTAGTGCTCACCAAGGCCATAAAAAATTACTATTTAAAGTTTTTTTTTTTTTGATATTTTTAGGATTTTCAGTTTTCGATTTTGACATATTACTATTGAAATTTTAAATTTGATTTCACGTTTTGGATTTCGGGATATTAATATAGAGATTTTTATTTTAAAATTTTACAGATTAATAAATAATGGATTACTTTTTACTACACCTAATACATGTATTTATATTTAAGGCACTGAAGAACAGAGAGTATTTAATTGCATATTTCATATTGCAAGCCGAATTTTTCCTGCCTATTTATATAATATTAAAGTTAAAAGAGACTTATAATGTGCTTTCACCGTTTATTCTAACCTTACTTTTAAGTATGAGTATGAGGCGGTACGTTAATGGCTAATTCGATGCCTAAGAGATCGTCTATGGTGCATTTTTTGATAATAAAAGCATCAGCATGCATTTTTATTTTTTTGTGACCTATTCCAGTTACTATTATTCGGATTTAGGGACTTTAAACTAGTACATTTTAGTTCTTTTTGGGCACAAAATAATTTATGCAAGTGATTTTTAGTAGCGAATGTATTGTATTATGTTTGGTACATTTTGTTGGGGTAAATGTTGTTCTGCAATATGTTGTATTTTGTATAGTGGTAATTCCTATAGCTCAACTCTTTTACTCTATCTTAGCCAAATTAATGACTTACCTTGATGTATTTCCCGTGGTTTCGGTAAATTTGTCACGCATGTATGTGGACACATTAGCACATTGGCCGGATGTAGTGAACCTTCCAAGAAGCGTCGACGTGCCTCACACAAATGTATACCGCCCAATGGTGTTTTCGGCAAATGATTTGGTGGCACGAGCGCCAAACAATATATACCCACTTGATGTATGGAATCGACAGCTTGCAGCACACGTGACATCCATTGGAAACTTTCCTCTTCCGAACAATCCGGACGCTGTTCGGCTATAACACAAACACGTTCATCTCTCAACACTTTAATACTGAAAACGGCTATGCGACCGCGATATATGAAACGCATAGGTTCCACAGCTAATACTGTAGCAATAATATCGTCAGCATTATGCTTACGTCCTGTTACAGTCATTAGACCATCACGTGAGCCGCATACGAAGACCAAACCACCAGGTCCCAGAAAGCCTAGCAGACCCGAACGTACATAATACTCATCGCTTATTGGTTTGAATGTAGACTCATCTTTTGTAGTATCGGGATCTTCTAGTAGTGGTTGCACCTTGAAAGTCGTATTGGTTAGACCGTCTAAACCGAAGTATGCTGTACCGGTCGAACCACTGGTAACACATATCTCACCAACTTGATCTGTCTTGCACAAAACTGGTACACCCTCCGAACGTACCACCACCATTTGTGCGGCTGGCATTACTTGACCACAATCTTGCAAGGTCAGTGATGTTAGTGAATCTTCACTATCTACACGCACCACACCATGTGAGAGAGCAGCCATAGATAATACGCCACGTCCAGTGGCTGATTGACTAAAACCGGTTGATGAACGACCGGGACGACGTAAAGAAACTGTAAAGACCTCAGAACTGCTGGCACATGGACATATTGCATCCGAGCGCAGTCCTTTCGGTTGGAAAACGTTTAAGAACTGATCACACGATGAAAGTGACCATGGATTAGCGCCATCAGCGACAAGTAGCATGCGTAGTGACGATAATGAAATGTCCTTATGATCTTTTGTAGCGAGTAAGCCCCAATGTAAATCACGACTTTTCACCAAACAACAGGAGGCTCGATGTTTAGTGATTAATTGCATCCATGATGAAGGGCGTAACTTCATCAGAGCATATGGTATGAATAATACATGCATGCCATTCAGGACTGAGGTGAGTACGGCATGCCATAAGCCAACTTCACGTTTGAAATCCAAGACGCAAACAATAGTTTCACCTTCGGTATAATGGCAGGCCATTGTGAGAGCGCGACAATGGTTCATCATGGCCAAACGGGTGACGGTGACGCCTTAAGAAGCAGAGAAAATCGAATTAGTTAAGCAGAAATGTTCAAAAATATATTTTTTAAACAACCTAGAGCATAAACTTTACCATATTAATATACATACCCATAACACTGCCCTCCTTATCGGTCGTATATTCAATGTATGCTGTGGCCGAGTCCTCAATACGTATATTGCCAACATTGAAATCTTTTGGTGGCTTTGGCAGATGTTCGGTAACAAACCATTGTAGGCGTGGCCAGCCTTTCAACTTTGCAATTTCACCTGTAGACGATTTTGGCAAACCTTTCAAACAAGCCTCTGAAGTCAAAGCGACTGTAATGCCACATGAACTTAGAAGAAAGCCGACTTGTTGTGGTGGTGTATCAGAGCTTAAGAGCGGCAACTCAATGGGTAAGGGTACCAGACCACGAAACATGCAGCCATACCAAGCCGTAATGAAACTATAATTTATAAAATATTTAATTATAAAAACTAGAAGGTAGAAAGTAAGAAAATTGATCAAAGAAATTTGTTTTGTTAACCTCAATGGATCATTGTTTGGGTAAACCAAAGCTACTCGATCTCCCGGCTTCAATGTGATTTGTTCAGGGCCCTTACTAAAAATCTTCGTTGATAATGCATATGCAATTTTTTGTGCGCGTGACAAAAGTTTGCCATACGTAAGAGTTGTTGTAATTTTGCCATTCGGATCAAGTACTGTAGCCATTGGGGATTTAAACGAGTTGGTGCCATAGCGTTGTAGTGCGGCTTCCAAAGAACGTGGCAAACCGGCCGCCACAGCCAATTGTTCACCCTGCACAGCCGTCATAATACTGCCCTCGGGTTTGGGTGCATTTGGATCTTTGGGATTAGCGGCAATTTCGAGTTCTATATCGTTATCTTCATAAAATTCGGGTAGTGGTCTACGCTTGGGACGCTTCAAGGTATTAAGGAGTTGTTGAATTTTCGCAGAAACTTTCCAACGACCATTCGTATCTGATTCGCCAAGATCAGTTTGCGAGACATTCACATAACGCGTCACACGATCAGCGGCATGACGTGTATTATTAAATTGTGTGATATCTGGAGCGGCGTCTGGAAAAGAGAATGTGTTAAGTGGAGAATGGTAGAAATTTTCGTAAAGTTGCCTTACATGGTTTGTGTTTCTCTTTGCTATCAGTAAAATCAGTGTTTTCCTTCATATACGCAGTAGGCGGTGATTCTGTGCTGGATGTATCCGAATGTGGCTGTGGAAAATAAAGCAAATATTTTAACTCTTTAAAAAGAAACTAATGATATGCTATACCAGTGGTGGCAAATTCTGTGGAGGTCGCCTTTCGGGATATTTGTTTCTATTCTGTGCACCACCCATTGATGAATCACGTATAGGCGGTTTTATAATTGGTTCCATAATATTGCTAACATGATCACGTGGATAATTATACTCTTTATCGGGAGAAATTGTCTCCTCAGGAATGGATTCTTCATCAGTTGATGAATCTAGGGCAAACGTGTTTCAAAGATAAAAGGAAAATGTTTATTTAGAATCTTTTCCACGTTTCCTTGCTATATATGTGACCCTCTCACCAATATCATCATTATTGCGATCCGGACTTCGATTGAGAACAGAACTTCGTTTCGATGGCATTGGCAAACTGGGTTTAGGGCGAGTTTTGAGTGCTGCAAGCGCTTGTTGTACAGCTTCTTGTCGCACTTCTAAACATATACACATACATACATACAGACAAACAAACATACGAATATATAACAAAACAAACATGAAGTATATCAGCCATATTTCTTGCTTCCATACCATGGACAATCCAAAATAACTTACCGGAATGATAACGTTTTTCATTATGTGTAATTTTTCGCTGTGTACGTCTTTGCCTGCTATGTTGATGGCTGGATTCGGAGCGTTCTATATGGCCACTACCACTTCCACCACCACCTCCACCACCGCCACTGCTGCCACCACCTTCTCGCATTGAATGATGGCTGCCATCTGACTTTTTAGATGCATTGGAATGTCTTTGATGAGATGATGGCAGTGATGGTACTTCGGTTACATAGCTATACCCTTCACTTGATACTAAGGCTCCATCTTTCACAGTCTTTGGATTTTGCGGTTGTGGCGTTTTAATATTATAATAAGGAGGCATGGATTTTTCGCCTTTGTCCAAATCTTTCGAATCATTTCCTTTTATGTGAAATATGGACAAATAATAGATTAATTTATGTTATTGTGTTGAGATTGTGAGAGTTATATTTATTAGATAAATTAGTGAGAAATTGCATGGCTTCTCTCTTATACATTAGATTTGTATAATACAAAATATATACGTGATTGAATGCTGTGACTTAAATTTTTTTACTTGACCTAATTTTTAATTATTGAAATATATTTTTACTAAAACGCACACAAGTACATCTACTCTGTCTAGCCTTTGCAGTTAATAATATTCTGAAGAAGATACTTTGTTATTGTGTTGATAAACAAATTTATTAAAACTAAACAAAAAAGAAAAATGCAACCCTCCATTGTGTAACATCGTATTATTGTTGTATTAAAGGAAAATTTGTTTCCATAATGCAAGTAGTTGTCATCTTGTTTATAAATAAACATAATGACCTAATCTGTAAACAATATCTAATGACTCTTTATATTATAGATTTGAAGTCAATCAACAACAGAGAAACAGTATCACACATATGTATATGTATATTTATATGGATTAATATAATGTTGCAAAGCAAGCTTCGACTTATCTGAGCTCGAAGAAAACATATAAACATCTCACTAAAAAAAGGACTTCGTTGAGACTAAAGCTTATTAATATGTACTCACATATAATTTTTTATAAAAAAAAATGTTTACTGGACAAATTGCTCTTGCTTTTGAGAATAATACAAATATAAATGTGTATGTAATTATTTACATTTATAGGAAGTAGTAAAAATATTCAATGCAGTAAGTACTTAGAGATTATATTTAAAATGACTCATGGATAAGTAGAAAAAATATATAAACAAAAATAAAATTTTGCAATTCCACTAATGACTTCAAACATTTCATACATATCTATTTTCATTATTTGGAAATAATCTCACCTTCATTTGTCGGTATTAAAAACGGTTGCAGCAACTTTGCTCGTTTCTTTTCATATCCCTTTTGTGTTATGTCGCCTGCAAAAAGTAAGCAGTTAAAATTAAAAGCAAATAAAAACTGTCAAGAAATATTCATACAGTCAAACCAACATAAGTATATATGTATATAAACTTAGAGCTACCGTATGAAGAAAGTTAATACGCCGGTTCTAATACCAAAGCATAAAAAATAAATCAATTGGCTTATTTAATCTCATCCATGCATACATATATTCATGTACAACATTCCATAAACCTAGCGATAGATATGTAGGCACAAGTATACAATGGTGGTACGCATATCACACTAAGTAGACAAAAGAACAGCAATTGATTTCACTCCTACTGGGGCATATATGTACGTAATGAATTATATGCATGCATGAATTATTCTAAATCTAGAAGTGAAAATTAAGTCAAAGCAATCAACAAACCTTCAGATAATTCTAAATCCAACTCAGCCAACTTTTCTCGTACATCAGCAGGAAGTGCTGCGAAATTCTCCAATAAATTCGCAGACATTTCTGCAATATTTTTTCTTTACTTAATTTTTATATCTTTTTATTGGTATTTTTTTTCTCGTCGAATCCCACCCTTAAAATTATGCAGGACGTAGTCCTGTTGTCGAAATATTTTATTTCGTACTATTCACTTGATAGCGATTTCACTTTGAAAACCACTTTGCACATAATCATAAATAAATACACTATATTCTGGTATTTAAAAATGCTTTTGAACACATAACTTATTGAATTCTTTTCACTGCCATATAGACACAATAACTACACAAACTCTGTAAGAATTGTTGTCAGTTTTAAATCCTAGGTACATACAATATCATTCATATCCACACAAATACTCGTAGACGATGGAGCAGTTGGGACAGTGGCTGCCCAACCCCGTTGATGATTCAATTTGGACACAGTAAGCAAATTCAGTTATGGTACAAAAGCAATAACTGTTTTGGGTTTATTGACATAACTCTTTATGGTTAAATGCTCCACTTTCATTTATGACTTTATAACAACGAACTATATTAGATTTTATATAAAAGGAATCAATCGAAGTTGCACGAACTTCGCCTTTTTGACACAAAACAAATTGACAACGTTGCCAATTCGTTAGTCAACAAAAGCCCCAACATTTGTACAGGGTTGTCAAAACATTTTATATCGTAAAAATCGCAAAATCACAGTGGGTACAAGTTAAAAGGTTCAATTAAAAAAAAAGACAACTATAGAAATAATAGTAAGTAGCAGAAATGAACATATTTTTGTATTCAGTGTTCACCACAAAACAGCTTTTGAGTAAGCATAAAAAGAAGTTTTGGGTGGCTTTGGCACCAACTTTTTTCTTGGTAATTTGGTGTATTTTCATTGATTTGTCTTAAACGTCATAGCCATTATGTCAGACAACGCTGTGCTGAACTAAAAAGAAAAGAAATGTTAAAAAGGTTGTTTGAAATTTCAAACAAATGGTGCGTATACACGTCTCAGCTCATGTATCACTCTTGACAGTAATAGCTAGGAAATTTCAGAACTGGAATCCGATCCAATTATTGTGTCAGCATTTATATCCAACGTATAATCACTCCTTCAAATAGGTATTACTTAGAATTGAGTGGCCAAGGAAAAAGTTATACGTCGGCAATCGAAAAAAATAATTTTTGAAAGAAAAGAAAAAACTTGCACTCCGTTCAAAATATCAAGTGGCTATGCGTGGTATTTTTTTACAGCACCGAACTACAAAATAAAAAGACAACTGGTGCACTATTACCAATTAATAAGAAAATATTCATATGGATTATATAGAAAGCAAAACAAAAACAGTTATTTAATGCAAAGTTTTAAAATAAGGATATTTACTATTCTTGTACTGAAATTATCCACGATAGTTTAAGTTTTTGAAAATTTTTGTAAGTGTTACAAAAATAGTCTTTTAGCTACAGATGAACAATTTATTTTGAAAGGTTATGTGTTTTATAGTCGAACCAGTCAAAAGTGTAATGACATAGCTGATACAACCTATATTATGGGAGTCTCGTACTGATTTGATAAAATCGACTAGTGGGTAGTTTAGTTCCAAGTTTTTCAAAATAAAAGAAAACTGAAATTGCAATAAGTTATGTATTACAATATAGTTCATGTTATTAGTTTAAAATTATAAATTGTGAAATTTGTTGTAAGATACTACAATACCGTTCACGCGGTTGAAGCCATGTTAACATCCCAACATACGTTTCTACTTTTCGCTATTTGACGGCAGCTCCTTTTGCAACTGATCTTTCCAACGAAGTGGATGCCTTACTCTTCCTTTGCCTCCACCGGCGGGTAATGCATCGAATACTTTCAAAATTGGAGAGCATTCATCCAATTATAGAATAGTAAAAAATAAATAAATTCAAATAGTAGACAAATAATATTTATAATTAGGTTGATTCAAAAATTTATAAATGTTTGTTTATGAATCGTTTCCTCATTGCGAAAAAATTGTTTTTCTAAAAAATTGATAAAATAAAAACAGGCAATGTAGACATAGAATAAATACAACAGGAACGCCATGTTACGCGGAAATATTTAATGCCATATTGCTTACTGCTAAATTGCAGCCCTGCACACCGGAAGGTGCTGCCGTAGCCATACATTTTAAAAACAATACTACAGTACCAATGTTCTAATAAATTATAAATGGAATAAAATTACTCATGGAATAGAAGTATAAAACAAAAAACAATTAATAAAACAATTAAATTGCTATGAAATAATTTTAATACACTTTATTTTAGGCAAATTTGAAAGCCTCCATGATTGATATGTGTTTAGTCACATACAATACATATGTACATATGTATGTATTTTAGGGTTGCTTCAAACTTCACATTCCATGGTAATCGCAAAGTGTATTGTATTGTGACCACAATTTGGGTTGCATTTATTCTGTATACATTTTTTCAATGGAAAATTTGCTGGAAAAGTTACTGGAAAAGTAGGAAAATTTTCATACAAAACCGTTAACCCTGCGTATACACAGTAGACACACAGTGCATTTATACTGGTTTGCTTCGAGTGATCCAAGTAGTTTAGTGAACGCTGTTTCTCTTTTCTCTTTCAGTTTTGTTTGTGATTTCGTCGGGGAAGGTGTGTGTGGTCGTGCCGATTTTGCATTTTGTGGCTTTAAGTGAAGTAGTACATAAGGATTTTTTAGCTGTCTATATACATACATATATATGTATACATATACTTGTTTATTCCATTGTGTGTACACTTAGTGCTGTTTCGTTAACAGTGGAAAGCCATTCCTTATCCCAGATAAAAATTGGGAGTTTCAAGATCTTGTAGTGAAAATTAAAAATTACAAATAATTTTTTAATTTTTTTACAAATTAAAAATTTATAAATATAAAACTTAGCAAAAAAGATAAAAACTAAACGCGATAAACGTTTTATACACAAAATTAACTAAATCAAATATATATTCGAAAAAACAAAAAATAATAAAAAAAAAAAAATGGCATCCGAAGTAAGTCAGACACCAGTCACTGAAAATAAGGTTGCCGAAGAGGCGGCGGCGGCAGCAGCAGCAACCAAGCCTGAAAGCGCAGCTACAGAGACAGTAGCTACCAAGGAGAATACTGCTGAAAGCAATGGTGCCGATACAGCGAACGCACAGGAGAAAGGCGACGACACAAAGGCGTCGGCCGGTGGTGAAGACACAAAGAAAGATGGAGACAATGCTACTACTGCAGCAGCAACCAACAGCAAACCCGAACCAGCACCAAAGTTCAATGTGCATAAAACGAACTTTGAGAAGGATGTAATATATCTGTATCAGTTCTCCCGCACTCCTTTGCTGCCATCGCTATCACCATATTGTCTAAAAGTTGAAACCTGGCTGCGTCTGGCAGGTCTTAAATACGAGGTAAGAAAATTTATTATATTTTATGAATGTATGTATGTACACATATGTATATTCATATACATTTAGATAGATATCTAGAAGTATGTATATATGTATGTACATATACATATATCTACATGCATGTACAGAAAAGATACACAGCAAAGATTTTAATTATGTACATACAAACATATGCGTATGTGTACGTGTATGCATGAAGAGGTATGAAATCCCCACTTGAAGAATTAGTAAAAAAAAACTTGCATATTCCTAGATAGGGTAATGCAGGATTCAGTATTTATCTGTATGTATGAATACATTACCTCCACCGCATATACACTTTGTCATAATATCATATCCCCATACAAAAATTTTAAACTCGCCATATTGAATTTTGTCTCATATAAAGGCACATACATACGCACACACACACAGGCACATGCACTGTGTATTTCCGTTGGAAAAAGGGCAGTTGCCTTGCTCTATTCCTTGTTGTTTCACTCCTTGTTGCACAGCGCTGAGCATACGCCAAGCTGGTTGCTAGTTGAGTTGAGTTGAATTCGGTTGAGTTGCCACTGAGACTGGAAATTCATGCCGCTTCCAGTGTTGCTATACGGGTACACTACCCGTCTCTATGCTGCGCGCAATAAAAAAAAAACACACACACACACACACATACGCAGGTATTCACAATGCTGCAACATCATACTCTTTTTTTTCTTTTTCGTGCTACGCCTGCCTACGCGAGAGCGCGGGGTGGAATTATACCATAATCGTCATTGCTTCTAGTGTACCAGAAAGAATTTTTTGCCCGTTATATTGCAATAAAGTTGCTGCTTGCTACTCAAACATACACATACATAGGCGGGTATGCAATGATTTTTATTACTATTCGAATGTGCATGTGTGTGAGCGTTCGTTTATGTTAGATTTGTTTGCAAGAATATGAATGTATTTAGGTTTGCATTTGCTTCTTTTTTTTTTTTTTTGATGAAAATGCAGGTGTTACGGCGTTGAAATTTTGCGGTTAGTAGAAAAAACAATAGGTGAAAAAACAACAACAAAAACGAGAACAAAAATAAATAAATACAATTCAGGTTTGAAATCAGGTGCCGACAGTTGCACAAATTGATATGCAAGTATAACAAAGAACTTGCATGGAATTTATATGTACATACATATATATGCGCTACACATATACATTTATATATGCATGTATAGTACTTATTGTCATGCATATTTATGTATTAAATACATATCAATGGAACTAAGTATTAGTAAGTAGCGCTGCAGGGGATCAAAAAGTATGTAATTAACTATGATAGAAAACAGAAATAGAGTAACACCAACAAATATTTATTTACATATATACAGACGCAGAAATAGATCGTGCACTGCAAAATTAACACAAAAGAAAATTATTCAATAAAGATATTATGGAGATATTGCCATGTAAATTTTTTTTCTTTTTTATATATTTTTTTATTTTAATATGCAAATTAAGAGGGAAAGGAGATGTAAACGATTATCAGTGTTATGCTAAGAAACCAATTCAGTTAAGGAGATTTTTTAATGAATATCTTTTTTCTTTTGTTTAAAGGGCTGAATAAATTTGCGAAGTTTCTGTATTTTGCAAAATAGAGCTCAGCACCATTAAATGGCAATTTTTTTTTTGGATTATATATGTACAGTTGAAAGAGAATGCACTATCACTAATAATTTCACCAATAATTTCTTTTTAACAGAACCGTTAGTATTGATTTTTATAGAAAGAAATTCTGCGAGACAAAAATAGAAAAATATACTTTTGCTGTAATATAAAAAACTTGAAAACAAAATTTTGAAAACTTTTTTACCTTTTAAATGGCACAATTTATTACTTCTAACTCACACATAAAAATTCTAACATTACTGATGACTTTTTTGACTACTCTTTCTGTTAATTTACATGTGTGTATATCGTTAAATGAAAGCTATATTTGTATTTGTATAATAGAAAAAAATGTAAAACACATTACAATTTATTTATTTTTACTGGTTCTATTTTATGATATTTCAAGTATTTTGACAGCTTTCTGAAAACTTGTTGATTATTTTTTTCTCGATTCAATTCAAATTGCAATTAAAGTTTCGGTTATACAGCCTTGCGTACAAAATGCGTGCTCAAAGGCAAATGCTAAGATGTTTTTTTTCGAAACTTTGTTTTCAAAGTCGGTTATGAAAAGTTCTTGAAAGGTACTCAACTGTTTTTGTTGACACAGGTCTTCGAGTTACAATACACGAGGAATTGCACGAAGATTAGCTTTTTTCTATCACAGCTGTTTAGAAAAAAAATGTTTACCGAAAATCCAAATTTCTGTTTTTATATTTTCATCGTTCTCTTTTTTTCCTTCGGTTGATGTTCTCAAGAATTCTGCCATCATCGCAGACGCATCTTTTTCCGATGGGTCACCGGAAATGACGTCACATTGTCGAAGTTATTAATATTTACTATTGAAATTTTCAGAAATCCTTTTTCAAATATATAACTGTAAGGTAGTTAATAGTTTAAGAAAAATATTCAATGAATGAATCCCTGTGACTGCTTAAAAATACTTAATAAAGTTTTTTTAAAGAAACCTAAAATTATTTTATTTTACTTATGTCTTCATTTCATTTTCTATAAGCGTTACTTTTTATTTTATTTTATTTTTAAATTTTCTCAAGGATATTATTTCAACATTTATTATTTAGTTTTTTTTCATTTTATTTTATTTGGTGTTTTGTTATTTCAGTTATTTTTATTATTGATTTTTATGTTATCTACAATATTTTGTTTGATTTGGCTCATTATATTTTATTTTGTTTTGTTATTTTGTTTGGTTATTTTTTTATTTTATAGCCTATGGTTTGAATTTATTTAATTTTTGTATTTTGTTTTGCTTTATGAAATTGAATTTTAATTCATTCTAAATTTTATGTCATTTAATTATTTTTTTTTATTGCAAATTTAACGACATTTATTTTAATTTTATTTTATATAATTTATTTAATTTAATGCATTTATTGTTTTCAATTGAATGTCACTTAACTCAATCTCATTTTAGTTTAATTTATTTATTTATTTTTTTAGCTTAACGTCATTTAATTTAGATTAAACTAATTTTACTTTATCGTACTTTAGTTTATTTTGGTTTATTTAATTTTACTTTGTTGTATTGTATTTTTTTGTGTTTTTATTTTATTTTAATTTAATGTTATTGTATTTAATTTAAGTTCATTTTACTTTAATTTAGTTCATTTTATTTAATTTCATTTTTATTTTAGTTTTATTTTATTTCATTTTTTTCATTTGAGTTGATTTCAATTTATTTAATTTTATGCTATTGTTATTTTAGTTATGGTTAATTTGTTTTGATCTTATTTTATTTTATTTCATTTTTTTCTTTATTAATATAATGTTATTTAATTTATTTAATTTAGTTTTAATTAATCTTAATTTTTTTTTTTAAATTCATTTTTTTATTTGATTTTGTTTCATGATATGTATTTAACTTTGAATTCTTTTTTTATAAATTTATAGCCGTTTGTATGAAGTTTCGATTTATATGTGCATACATATATATGTACATATGTGTATATTTAATTAAACATTTTTCTTTTTTTTTTGTATAAAAATCTATCTTAAATATGAATTAAATACATTATCTATTGCTGTTAAATTGTTTTAAAAGCACATAAAGTTATGGCATTTTCTTCTCTTTGTCTTACATTATGCTCGACACATCAAGTAATATATATGTATGTATGTGTGTGCATACATATAACTCCAAACCCCAAATGAAGCACTCTAAGCGTAGTACGTTAAACTTCACAATAAAACAACAAAGCAAATCAGATCGATTTTCTCACACACATGTGTGTGTACATACATTTGTATGTATGTATGTATGTACATGCATGCATACGTACAGGCGCGCAAACTTCATGTGTCATGCACATTTTAACTTTACTCAACTTAATTGGAATTGATGAACAGTTTTTCGATGCACTTAAACTTGACACGTACTGCTTTCCCACCATAACACCATTTCACTGCATAGCACTCACACACATACGTGTATGTATGTACGTATGCACAAGCATATAACCCTCATTACAAAATTCAAATTCAAACTGAATGCTTTTATAAGAACCAACCCTTAAATAAAAACAAAAAGACTGCAGTCGTCATTACCGGGCACTCCTTTTGTCAGAGAGTTATTTTATCTTAAGCCATTGGTTTTGCTTTGGGTCGTCGGCGCTAAAATAAAAATAAAAAAAAATAAAATAAAATAAAAATAAAAAAAACGAAAATAAAAAAAAATGAAGAAAAAAAATCAACAACAGATTAGTTTACAATACTAGTGAAATTACTCTTAGTCGATAATAAATGTACAGTCGATAAATACCAGAAAATGATGTAAATAAATGGAGAAAAATAAAACAGTTTTAGCTTTTTAAGTGAAAATGGAAAATGGTTGAATGCACGCAAGCACAAAGGAATATACAAAAAAAAACATATTTATGATTAATTATATACATACATACAAACATATGCACATGTATACGCACATCTGTACATACATACATACATGCAACTGCTTTAATTTTTATGTTAGTTTACTTGCTTGCTGCTGCTGCTCAATTTTGTGTGCTGTGCTCTGCTGTTAATCCTTTTAGGCATTTCTTTGACATTTCATCACAGTTATTCAGCTACTCCTCATACATGTGCACATGTATGTATGTGTAAATATGTGTGTACAAACAAACAGCCAAACGATCGAATGTATTGTGATTCACAAGTAGCTTAATAACCTATACTTTACTGTACGCCAGTTCTTTTCTAATGGATGTACAAACGAATAGACGTATTGTACATACATTATACTAATGTATATATGTACATATATGTATGTCTGTATGGTTGTTGCATTGCTAGTAAGTTGAGTTGTGCTCGCTTATTTGCCCGACGGGGTGGGGCGCGCTTGCAACACATACAT